CCTCTTTCTTTGGTTCCTTCTTTCCTCCTTCCTTTCGTCTTCTTCTTTTTCTTTTTTTACTCTTCCTTTCTTTTTTATACTTTTTTTCTTTCTTTCTTCTTCTTCTTTTTCTACTTTTCCTTTTTTTTTCTTCTTTCTATCTTTAAGCTTCTTGTTCTTTCTTCTTCTTTTTCTACTCTTTCTTTCTTTCTTTCTTTAAGCTCCTTCTTCTACTTCTAGTCTTTCTTTTTTTCCTTCTTTCTTTAAGCTCCTCGTTCTTTTTTCATTTTCTTTCCTCCTCGTTCTTTTTTCATTTTCTTTCCTCCTCTTTCTTTTTTCATTTTCTTTCCTCCTCGTTCTTTTTCATTTTCTTTCCTCCTCGTTCTTTTTTCATTTTCTTTCCTCCTCGTTCTTTTTCATTTTCTTTCCTCCTCGTTCTTTTTCATTTTCTTTCCTCCTCGTTCTTTTCATTTTCTTTCCTCCTCGTTCTTTTTTCATTTTCTTTCCTCCTCGTTCTTTTTTCATTTTCTTTCCTCCTCGTTCTTTTTTCATTTTCTTTCCTCCTCGTTCTTTTTTCATTTTCTTTCCTCCTCGTTCTTTTTCATTTTCTTTCCTCCTCGTTCTTTTTCATTTTCTTTCCTCCTCGTTCTTTTTTCATTTTCTTTCCTCCTCGTTCTTTTTCATTTTCTTTCCTCCTCGTTCTTTTTTCATTTTCTTTCCTCCTCGTTCTTTTTCATTTTCTTTCCTCCTCGTTCTTTTTCATTTTCTTTCCTCCTCGTTCTTTTTCATTTTCTTTCCTCCTCGTTCTTTTTCATTTTCTTTCCTCCTCGTTCTTTTTTCATTTTCTTTCCTCCTCTTTCTATCTTTAATATCCACCATCTCCTTCTTTTTCTCCTCTTTTCTTACTTTCGTTTTTGGTGTCTTTGTTTTGATCTGTTTTTCATTGAGGATTTTAGGTGCAATTCTTTGTTTGTTTTAGGGGGGTAGGGGGTGTGGGGGGATGGTAGTTTTTTTAATTGTTTTTTCTTGATTTCTTTTATGTTCTTGTCCGTTTGATTTTTTGTTGTTGTTGTTGTTGTTCTTTTATGTTTCTTCTCTTTTCTTTTTTTTCTTTTCTTTTTCGTTTTTTGGAGTTTTTTTATTCTTTTCTCTCTCTCTCTTGTAGGTTTTTCTTATGTTTATCGTCCGTTTTATTACTCCTCTTGATCTCTCTTCTCTTCTCCTTCCATTCCTTCTCCTCTTTTCACTTTTATTAATGATTTTTTTTATTTTCATCTTTCTTCTCTCTCCTCATTCGCTTATTTCGTCTGCGTCCCCAGATTTTTTTCCTCTCCATTTGCTCTTTCTCTTCTCCTTATTCCCTTTTATCTCTTCTTTTCTATTTTGTTTTTTATCAGTTTCTCTTCTTTTTACACCTTTTCTTTTTTCATTTCCTTTTCTTTTTCTCCATTTTCTCGCCTACTTGCCTTCTAGTTTATCCGCCATTTTATTTCTTTTCCTTCTTCTGTTCTGTCTTATTTTCTCCATTTCGTTCTCTGCTTTACCGTTTTTATATATTATTTTTTTCTCTCTTCTTATTCTTCGTCCCTCTCTTCTCCCTGCCCTTCTTTATTTTCCTTCATGTCTTTCCTCTACCTTTTCTTTCTTCCCACTTTCGCAAAGGAAAGAAACAGAAAGAGAAGAAGAAGAAGAGAAAAAAAATGATCGACAATGACCTCTTCTGACCTCCCCCCCCCCCTTCCCCCCCGCCATAATCTGAGTATTCCTCTTTTGGTCAATTGCTAGCGAAGAGTAATGGTGGGGGGGAGGGGGGAGAGGGGTTAAAGTGCTCGTTAAAGAGAATGGGAGAGGGGAGGGGGGGAGGAGAAAAAAAACGAATGGAGGAAGGAGAGGAAGGAGAGAGAGAAGGGAGGATGGAAAGGAATTATGGGAAAGGGAAGTGGAGGAAAGAAGGAAAGAGAAAAGATAACGGGAAAGAAATTTGGATAAAGGTGAAGGAAGGAAGAAGAGAGAGGTAGAAAAAAATGAAGAGAGAATAGAGAGGAAAGGTGGCTAACGTAAAATATAGAAAAAAGAGTTGATAAAGAGGAGAATGAAAGGACAAAGGAAAAATAACTGTGTAAATGAAATAAGAAGAGAAGGAATGGAAAAGAAATTTTAAAAATGAAACAATCTAGTGTAAATAGAGAGGAAAAGACGGATTGGAGAAAAGAGCAGAATGCGAAGAAAAGAGAGAACAGAGGGTGAAGGAAAGAAGGAGAAAGAAAGAGAGAGAAGAGAGAATCAAGAGAAACATACGAAAATGGACGACGATAAGAATAAGGAAGCGAATGTGGATAAACAAAAAAAAGGCAATAAAAAAAACAAACGAGAATCAGGTACAGAAATGGAATAGAAAACAACCGAAAGACGGGAAAAAATAGTAAAAGAGAGAATGACAATAAAGCACAAAAACAGAAGATGAAAAAGTAATGTTAAGTGTTCTCCAGTTGCAGAACAGAAGATTATAAAAACGATTATTTTACGGACCTCTTTTCCTCTTTTCTTGTTTAGTGGATGGACATATTTTCGTAATCGCTTCTCTCTCTTTCTCTCTCTCTCTCTC